TAAGCTCGGGCCCTTGGTTAGCTTTCAGTAAGCCTCCTGATGGTATACGGCGCGCGTCCCTTGAACACAGTGGTGACGGTTGTGCGCAAGCTTTGCTGTGCATTCATTTGAGTGGACTTTCACAAGTTCAGTTCTACAATATCTGTAGCGCTCCCACAGCATCTCGCCATCGTAAAACACGTGTACTGCGTTCGCGTAGCCCTCCGTCCAGAGATCTTCTGGGTTGCCGTTAAGGAACTTAAACTCAGTTACCATAACGAGTATATATATATATAGGAAATAATAAGGTTTCCAAGATATAACTACTTGAATTAAGAAATTTAGTTCGTTAACAGCAACCCAGTCTTGTCAAGAATTCGGCTGAAGTGTTTTTGGCCCAGATCATCATGGTCTAGTCCGATGGTCCCTAAACCCTAAGCCGGGTAGCATGGAAACCTAAAGGCCTATGGCAAACCTTAAGTAGAATATGGGGTATTTGAGGTTTAGCGTTTAGGGTTATAGTCCCCCTGAAGTAGATAAAATATGGGGTATCTGGGGATCTTATTAAAATATACTCAAGGGGGACTATAGGAGCCTCTGTAGACTGCTGAGTACCGTCCTGCTGGACTGTTATCCCTTTGCCGGATCCATGTTTGCCTAGGGAAATGCAAAGCTTTTAGGTCTACACTCTGAGACTCTACTTCATGGGAACGCACATGATGAGGCAAACATCTTGACAATATCTAAACCCTAAACCCTGAACCCCAATCCCTCTAGTCCAGCACTCGCACAATGGTCGGGACGGGGCTAACTTCAAGCCGTCAACCACCACCCAAACCCAAACTTCTAGGCCCAGATCACCGACTAAGACCAGGACACACAATTCTAGACCACCAACCCTAAACCAAAATCCAGACCCAAAACTCTAGACTCCAAGCCCCGAGACCCAGAATCCTAAACCCTAAACCCTTAAACCCAGAATCCTAACCCTGGGCCTTTCTTAGCATACCCTGGCCTTGCCCGCCAGAGATCGCCGCCGAAATCTCCTAAAGCACGGGAGCAAGGAAAGGGACACAGGGCCTGGGTTTAAAGATTTTAGGGGTTTACGGGGGTTTAGGGTTTAGGAGGGATTTGGATTAGGGTTTAGGGTTTAGGGGGTTAAGGGTCCAGGGTTTAAGGGGGATTAGGGATGAGGGTTTAGGGGGTCTAGGTTTTAGGGTTTTGGGGGTTTTGGGGGTTTTCGAGTTTAGGGAGGTTCTGGCAATCCAAAGATTGGGGGGCTAACGCCTCCAATACTGAACCCCCTTAAGGTTGAATCAGGTCTTCTTGAACATACTTTCTTTAGGTATTCTGTCCTCCTCTTCTGTGGTCTGAGCGTAAGGATGCGTAAGGGTTCCACGGGGTCCACGAATGCAATGGCAACACGCGGTTTGGGGTTTAGGGTATAATCGCTGCAATGACGATGAGAATCACGATGGCAAAGGAGCTTGGCCGGCAAGTCCCCTGTACCACCATGCTTGGTCCCAGTTGCTGGGTTCACTTGAGGTTCCTGGCCAAAAAATGCGTTTATCTTTGCGTCGCAGTAGCATTGTAGACACACCAAAAAAACAAGCGCGTCCTTGGCGAAAGTCACCCCTCAGCTACAGGGTATCAAGCTGGGGGGATATCAAAGTTAAAGCTTTTAACCCCTAAACCCTAAACCACTTATGGACACGGTCCGTTATAGTCAGTCAGCAGTGAGAATTGCAAGGTCTGCAGCAACCCCGAATCCCTAAACTCCGAGACCTTAAGCTCCAAAGGCTTAGGATTGTAGCCTTTAGAGTGTAGGAGGACCCCCCCACCCTGTAATAGTGGTATAATAAGAATATACGAGGACCCTAATATAATCTTTATTATCCCTTGTAGTCACCATTACAGGGTGGGGGGTCCTCCTATTTTCGAGGACTGAACAGTTATTCCCCGAAAACGCAATGGAAGCCCATCAGGGCCTCTTTGAAAAGACCGCTTTCCCTGCACCCTAACCCCTATTCATATACCTTTCCGGCTTCCATCTTCATGGGAAGACGGTGCAACCCTAAGCCTGAAGCCTTCGAACACGTACAACCTGAATGGTCCAGGGTACTGATTCTGGATGCTGAAGATCAGGTTAGGGGTTTAGGGTTTGGGGCGTATAGAGTCGAATGAGAAAGCATCAAATGGTGCATAAGATGGACATGAAGTGGAAGCTGGTCTTATGAAAAAATGTTGTGGGGCTTGAAAACTAGGGAAGTCTTAAACTTCAATGATTATCCATTGCCCTTTGCAGCCGATTTAAAGTGCCCGATCATATGAATTTCCAGGGGAAAGGCGGTCTGTAAGAACAAGTTTAGGGTCTAGGGCTTCGGGTTTAGGGTTAAAGCTGGACCAGATAGGGATTTGGGTTTCCAAGCTCCCAATTTTTATGCGATATGACCCTGTAGTGGTCCAGAAGTTTGGGAACTAAGGTTTTTCCCAGAATGCGGGGCTTATCAAGGACTGCTGATGCGTCCCCCAACCCAGAAACCCTCAATCGTCTTAACACTCTGTTATGTATAGGGTTTGGGATTATACACGTATGCTACCATAGTTATACATGTACAGCTATAAGCCCTGGAACCCCTCAACCCCTAAACCCTAAACCCTAAACCCTACGCCCCAAGGCCCAGGCGGCTGACGTCCCCGCGGCCGCTGGGAACCGGAGTGCCGGCCATCGCGACTTGAGCCCAGACGACGCCGCAGCCGGCAACTTCGGAAAGATCTCGGGAGTTTAGGGCTTAGGGGCTCCTAAAAGTGTAAAGGGGTTCTATCCCAGAATTAGGGGCTCACTTCATAATGAGGATGATGAAGCTTAGGAGGGGTTGTCTTGGCCATGCAAAAAACTTGTATGGGGCTGTGAGTCTTGTTGCAAGGATTTGGGGTTACCGAACTTTAGCGCTTGAGCGACTTGTGGGTCTGCGTATGTACGTCCCGAGGAGCATTGCAGAATTTGGAAGTTGTGCGGGGGACCCAGTTTTTTTTAGCGCCACATGAGTTACACGAGCTACAGTCTAAACTCCGAGTATTCCCCCTCAATAACCCCTCTTTAAGCAGCTTAGACCATAACTCACATGGGAATGTTCTATGGCAATCTGTAATGATTTCTCGCGTATATCGTGGACCAGAAAATGTACCCAGAAAGCTACTTAGCTTAGGGTCTAGGGTTATGGGGTAGGTTTGCGCACGCTGCCGGCAAGCAATGGCACTTGAAACGGCATGGGGGTCTACGTTTTACGGTGGAGGACTAAGGGCAGGAGGTTCATGGTGTAGGGATTGCTCGGGTAGGTTTGGGGGCCTCATAAAAACTACTCTCTATGGCTCTAAGAGGATTATGTACGGATAGTGGGCAATAAGATTAGAAACTCTTTTCAAACTGTAAACCCTGATCCCAAACCCGAATCCCTCAAGCCGATATAAACTTACCATTACTTCGGGTTCCCAAATCTGCTTAATCTCAGAGTTTCAAGATGTCAAAATATCCTCCCCCTAAACCCTAAGTAATGGTAATAAACCCTAATCTCTGCTCTGAACCCCAATCCAAAAATCTTCTTTCTCTTTGCAAGTGAACCCCTGATTAGGCGTACTGTAGACCAGTGATGATTTGGGGTTTAGGGTTTTGTGTTAATCCCCCTCCCCTTGATAGAGATTAGAGTAGGGATCTGTATATAAAGGCCCTTAAAAGGAGGGGGTCCATTAATCACAGGAATCACAGGTCTACATTAGGTCTTCAGGGTAACACAACGAAGGCTGGGGGCTTGAGCTTGTCGAAGGAAGTTAAACCCGCAAAGTAGTTCCCATGGGTTCAAGGTTTCCTAAACCCTTTCTAAACCCTAAACTACCCCATTGTCACGTGATTTGTTTTTCTGCGTCTGCACTTGAATAGCGTTTTTTTGGTGGTTAAACCCAGTAAGATAATACTCCTTATATGAAATACTATACCCAAAAGTAGGATAGAATCTTACTCTATATTGGGTACCGTAGTATCCCCAAACAAAATACTACACAAATAACCCCTATATAATCCCAATTTCCATTTCATTTTCCATTTTCTTTTCCATTTGATTCTCCATTATAGGGCCCTAAACCCTATATTATTGGGTACCGTAGTATCCCCAAAGGTGGCTTTTTGCGGGCTTCAGTGCCGCTGCCCGTCTTCTCGCTGATCTCCTTCAGCCACTGGTAGGCAGAGTTGGGCTCTCCACCTGTTAAGGGCTTTAAAGGTTTTAGGGTTTAAGGGTTTTAAGGTTTTAGGGCTTTAAGGGTTTAGGGTTTCAAGGGTTTAAGGTCTTAAAGTGTTGGGTCTGAGGTTTGGGTTTCAAGGTTTTAAGGTTTTGGGTTTAGGGTTGGGGGTTTGGAGTTTAGGGTTTGAAGGTTGGGGGCTTAAGTCCTGCAGGCTGTGGGTTTAAGGTTTGAAGTCTGTGGGTTTAGCGTCTTAGGGTGGCAGAAACAAGTGGCTTGGCATCCTTCTCCCAAATAATTTTCCTCAAAGGAAGGATATAATCTTAAGCCTTAAGCTATTTCGTGGAATACAGTATCACTGTCGCCGCCAAACATACCACTCTCCTGAAGTTTTCCAGATTTTTCACAGGATGTAAAGAGTTCAGTGTTTGGATCGTCTGGGGCGTAGGGTTTAGGATGTGGGGTTTGGGGTTCGGTGCTGAAGCTTGCGGGTTGCAGGGCTTAAGGTTTTGTGGAATGGGGTCTGACGGGGCTCAAGCTCACACACGTCACATTTTCTGGACTCCTTCCAAAGGTATGGAAGAATCAGACCGGTCCAAGTTCTCAAATACATAATTCGGGCTCCAAACCCTAAGTCCCAAACCCTAAACCCCATACAGGAACCCATCTGCGGCCGAATTATGCTGCGTTTGGGTACTTGGACGCTCAGGGGCCTTTCATGGGGAACAAGAGTATCAGAGTCCTCATATTTCTTCTACATTCCTACTAGGTTCCCTGTTTGGGGTCCCATTGCAGTCCTGCTGCCTTTCAAGTCGCCCCCTACTGAGAGAATAGGTTTAAAACTAATACTGTTTGGTGAGTTTCTCAGAGAAACGCCTAGGATATTCCAAACGAGGGTATAAGAAGACCTCATAATCCACAACTATCACTGGGTCCTGAGGGGCCACCTTAGCACAAACAAACACCCGTTTTACTGCTTCCTGCAGGGAGACAGTACCAATACCGGCTCTAAGTCTATTTGGGCTACGCTGCTAGACCATGGGGTTTAGGGTGTAGGGTTTAGGGTAAATCATATAAGATGCCTTGGACCAAGATATGGGCATTTCTGCCTCATATAAGCCCAGTCTCCATTTCGTTTTCCTCGTTCTTTCCATTTGATTCTCCATTATAAAGCCCATATAGACCGTTGTATCTATAGAACCCAAATTCCATTTACTTTTCTATGCTTCCATTGATTTTTCCATTCTTGGCGAAATAATAATATATGGTAGTTTCCCAAAATAAGGGGACCCCAATGTAGACCCCAAAATACTATAATCCTTACTATGGGGACCCTCAAAAGGGTACCCCTAATTTTGGGAAACCCCCATATTACACTCTACTAAGAGCCTTGGCAGGTGCCAGCAGTTCCACAGTTCATCAAGTGCTGCACGGAGAGCTGGATGTCGATTCCTAACGGTTCGCAAGGTGCCTATACATCAAAATGCTTACATTCTGTTACTCTAAGGCTCCAAATGGCCCAATGTGGATCATATCTATAGACTTTGGGGCCCAATGTAGGTATGATTTATAGACATGGAGCCCTAGGGTTAGTAGGGAAAGACAAGGTGGAAACTTGCAAATATTGGGGATTGTATAGGGACTGCCATAGGGGTCCATGTCTTGATGCCTTGCTAACCAGACGTGGGAATGGGGACTTCTCGACATCGGGGTAGCCAAAGACCCCGGGACACATGTTGGAGGCTGTACGCACGCACCCCCACTGGGGAGTACTCCCACTCGTTGCGCATACAGCCTTTTATGATATGTTATTAGGGCTTCCAAAAATCGAAGGCCGCCAAAAAGAACCCAATATACAGAAATCCTCATTATCCATGTACCGGATCCATGGTCCTACCCCAACCTCCCGCCCGAGTACAACCATACCGGACATACCTGACACTTGGAAGTTCAAGGTAAATTTGAACCAACTACAATGAGTACTTCTAACGCAGTTCTCACTATATTGTCGGACGTAGGGGCTCATAACTGGGTTAGGAGTACAAGTATAACTGGGGGATGATTCCCCCGAACCCTAAGCCCAAAATCCTAAAACCCAGAAACCCTGAAACCCTAAGCCCAAAATCCTAAAACCCAGAAACCCTGAAACCCTAAGCCCTAAATCCTAAAACCCCAAACCCCTGAAACCCCAAGCCCTAAATCCTAGGTGGTCCTTCAGCCTTGCGCGCAATCTTGATCCGGTCTGCCAGCGCCGACATGCTGCCCTGATCCATGGGTTGTTTTTAGAGTTGGGGGTTGTGCCGGGTTTTGGGCTTAGAGGGGAGTATTTACAGGGATCAAGGGGGGTAGGGATATTGCCTCAATAATTCAGATCTAAACGGAAAAGAATAAAAGGAAACTGGGATCATTTACATATGTATATATCGGAGTTAACAGGACGAATGCAAAACAAATCCGGCATGATGCGAAGTACCTCAAACCTTGGGATTTATGGCACCCTAAACATCGGGTTTACAATCCCAGGTACCCTCAGGTCATGCAAGCTGCTTGAGTATCAACAGTAGGTGCAGGATGCTCATGGAAAGGCAACAAGTCCCAAGCTTTAAGTGGTTGATCTACCTAAACCCTAGATCCTAAACCCTAAACTCTAAACCCTCAACCCAAAAACCTAAACCGTAAACCCCATCACACAAGAGAGCAGCCCTTGGCACCCATCCTTGGGTCCCCAAACCCAGATTCCACAGCCCTTCAGCGCAAAGGACCGTAGAATTTTCCCAAGAGAGTTTAGGGTTTGTTTACAAGGGAACCTAGGTTTCTTGGTGGATTTAGGGTTTATAGGGTCTAGCTCAGAGAACCTTAAAACTAACCTTCCCAAATCTAACACGGAATCGCAGAAAGGGGGAGATTCATGGGACGCCATGTTAATTTGTGAGGAAAAGCCCTACACCCCATACAACACTCCGTTATCGTTTTGCGCCCCCTACCTAGTCCCTACCAAGCCATTTTTGAAAAAGGCTTCCCTGTTTCTTGAGGACGGCAAATGACCAACCCTAAATCCTAAATCCTAAGCTCTAAATCCTAAACCGCAAACCCTAAACCCTAAACCCTGAACCCTAAATCCTAAACCGCAAGCCCTGAACCCTAAATCCTGAATCCTAGATCCCAAACACTAAACCCTTTACCCCTACCTGGGCCCAGCATGATCCGCAGTACTGCGGGATGTGCTGATTCACGGAGACGGTGCAGAAGCTCTTGCCGTCCTCCAATGTAGGATTTAGGGCTCGGGGATTTGGGTCTAGGGATTAGGATTGACAGTTTAGGATTTAGGGTTCAGGGTTCCAGTGTAGTGGGATCATGTTGCAGAGGAGGAGATTCCCTTTTATTTGGGGGCTTGACTGCTTTCAGGGTCCTGGAAGGAGTTGGGGTTACTAAAATCTTTGTACCCTAAACCGGAAACAAGTCCTTATGGGTGTAGATGCATAACCTGTGGGACTGTTCAACGAGTTTTGAAGCAAGCCCTTACACAACCTGTGAAGCAACATCCCCCACCCCCTAATCACGACTACTTTCGATGCACGCTAATATGCTACTACCGGACAGCTTATGAGGCTTATGACTGACAAGGGGGGGGCATTGTCCACTCAATTTGGTCTGTGCAAGGCCTGAGTATCTCTCACTCTAGAATCTATGAAATCCCCGGGCGCAACTTCCTTGTGGTTTATCGGCCGTCGACCACGGCAACATACATCCCCAAAACCCTCTGCCCTCCCTGTTCTCAAGATCCCTAGTACGAAGGTATTTTTCGGGGGCTAGTAGGAAAGAAGGAAACATATAATACAGAGATTCAGTATACAGGATTATCTTCCCTACTAAGTACTGGATACTTAGACAAAACTTCAACTCAAAACCCTAAACCGTCACTGAAGTTCTGATGCCCGAAGACTAAACCCAAGGCGTATACTGTACTTAGAAAGAGTGTAATACAAAAGCATCTGTATAGCTCTAATGGTCCATTAATTCTTGAGGAACCTAGGTATGGGGAGATTGTTGACCCTAAGCCCTAGAACCCCAAACCCTAAATCCTGAATCCTTAACCCTAAGCCCTAGAACCTGAAACCCTAAAACCCCTACGAACCGGCTAGACCTTGTCGCACCAGGAAAAGGTCTCCGGGAAGCCCTCCGATGGGCCGGAAAGGAGCCTTCGGCTGTGAAACATGAGGTTTTTATAGGGTGATTTATAGCTTTTAGGGTCAAAGGCTTTAGGGGTTATATAGGGTTGGTAGGGGTTATGTGGATCTTGGAAGATTTTGAAAGGGGGATATAAGGCTCAATAATGAAAGTCAAGGAAGATAAATAATTTGAAGATGAAGCGGAAATTGGGAACCCTGAACCCTAAACCCAGAAACACCTAAGCCGTTTTTAGGGGTGTTCAAGCTGTTGGAGTGTCGAAGTTGGAGTTTAGGGGTTGAGGTTTAGGGAGTTTGGGGTTTAGGGTGGGAGCTTAGAGCTGATACCTTAGCACGAAACCCCAGACACTCCCAAAATACTGTAATCCTTATTCTGGGGAGCCCCTAAGGGTACCTCTCATTGGGGGAGTCCTAGCCGAAACTTGTGAAGCCAAACCTGATACACAGTAAACCCTCGAACCCCTAAGCCCTCTATATCTTAGGTGGACGCCCCCACCCCGTAACAGTGGTATAATAGGAATATGGAAGACCCTTACTCAATATCTTACCTTATAAGCTCCTAATTACTTTGATATAGAAGGGCCCAAGCATGTTACCTTGTAGTCGCTGTTACTAGGTAGAGGATCCAATTAATCTGTAGCTATGGTGCTCGTGGGACGAGGGCGTCGATGAGTTTCCGCGCCACTGGAATCCTGTTTGGTGCGCTGTGATTGGGATTTATAGGGTTTAGGGTTTAGTGTTAAGGATTGGGGTTGCGAAGCTCCTCAAAATGAAGCTCCGCATCATATGCCCTCAACGTGATACCATGAGCAGATGGAGGCAAAGTACTGAATACTAGGGGGTGGGGGCATTCTAAACCCTAAACCCTGAACCCTAAACCCTAAACCTTAAAGCCTGAACACTAAAACCCTAAACCCTAAAACCCCTAAGACCCTAAACCCTAAAACCCTAAACCCTAAACACCCTAAAACCCTAAACCCTAAAACCCTAAAACCCTAAACCCTAAACCCTCAACCGGGGTTCCCGGAGTAACGAGCTCGCAGCGCTTCTAGAGCTGCAAGTGCAGACCCCAGCTCAAGTCTATAGTCCCCATTAAGTAGATAGAATATAGAGTTTAGGGTTTAGGGTTTAGGGTGTAGGGATTAGGTTTTAGGGTTTAGGGTAGAGTCCCCCTTAAGTAGATAGAATATGGCTTTGGGTATATTATTGCAAGATCCCCAGATGCCCCATATTCTATCCATGTACTTATATAAGGGGGACTATAGGGACCTGACTTGCCCGCCATCATTTGCGTTATTCTCAAAAGTGTATGCCCATTTTGGCTAATACACCTAATATTTAGGGGTACCAAAATGGGACCCTAATTTTGGGAACCAACCATTTATGGACTTAAGGGCCCGACGTAGGTAAGAGCTGTAGACTTGATGCCCCACAGCGAGTGTTCTTCATAGACTTAGATATTGAGGTGAGCTGTCAGCGCCCGTTCGACGCGTGTTTACGGGGGTTGGCACGCTGCAGCTTGTTTTTTTTGCACCACCCTGGCGCCTGCCATGCCTGAAGCGTTGAGCAAGATCCTAGCACCGTCATACACCTGCAACCCTAAAATGGATCATGGAAAATGAAATGGAAACTATAAATGGGTTGTTTCCTCATCTCACCCAAAAAAAGCCCAGTATCCCTAAACCGTCTACACCGCAAAGCCCTACTGTACCGACCCAAACCCTGATCCCCTCTCCAAGCCCTCAGCTTTTGAGACCCCCGAAATGGTGTCTCAAAGTTTCGGAGACCATAAGATCATCTCGGTTTGAAAGCACGCTCCTTTAAACCCTAGACCCTACCGCAAACCGCGTTCCTCTTCGCTCCACCTCATCGCGCTTCCAAAGCTCCGACTTGCGCTGCACGGGCGCAGCCACGGGGGCTCCTATTGTCTCACTCGCGGGTTCAAGGTTTGGGTGTTTAGGGAGCAGGGTTCAAAGTCCACCTTAAGTAGATAAGCATGGCTTCGTATATAGTATGAAAAAAGATCCCCATCTACCCCATATTTTATCTACTTAAGGGGGACTATAAGGGTTTAGGGCTTACGGTTTTTGAGCTGGCGCTTCGTCGGGAATTGACCATATCACTCTGAAACAAAGCCTTCGTGGCTGCCTCATCACACTCTAATTACCAAAATGTACCATAATATACTAGAATATTCCATAATATACTACAATATACTATAATATACTCTAACATACTCTAACATACTACAATACACGATAATACTATACTTGGTACCTACAGGAGCCTGTGGAACCCCGGAAGTAATCCCCGCCATCCACATATCCACCACTGCGAATTCAGAGGGCGATGAAATGAAAAAAAGATGACGCCAGAAAAGCCCTGAGCCTTACGGTTTAGGGTTTAGGGGAGGGTCCATATGCCCAAAGATACAACAACAGTTGGAGTCTGAATGATCTTCTTGGCAAAGCTGTATAGAAACATAGAACTATAGGTTCCTATCAGGGCTGCTCTATAAATAACCTTCCAGCACGCCCCCAAACACTCCCAACACCCAAAATCCTTTAACCTTCAAACCCTGTAAACCCCTACAGTATAGCGACCCGACTTCTATTTCACGCTCCACTCTCTTTTCCATTTGACTCCCCGTTGTTGGGCCCTATATCACCAATATACTGAACCCCAAATCCCAAACCCTGTATCCGCATGATAACCCTACAGACCCCCTAACATCACTAGCCCCTATAGTCCCCGGCAACATTCAAATGGCAGTTTCCCAAAATAGGGGGACCCCAATGTAGACCCCCAAATCCTATAATCCTTACTATAGGGACCCCCAAAAGGGTACCCCTAATTTTAGGAAACCCCTAAATTTGAGAACCTCATCCGAGCCTTCTTCGCGGACCTTGCTTTGGCAATTTTCGCCTCCCTCGAAGCAATGGATCTCGTTGTGCTGCTCCGGCGCGGTGTACCTAGTTTAGGGTTTAGGGTTTAGGGTTTAGGGTTTAGGCAGGGTATGAAAAAGCTTGCATGAGCATGAGTACCCTAAGCCTGGGGAATAATGGTGCTACAGCATACTTAGACTAAGGCAAGGTCTCGAAACACTTCAGTATTCCATCAGCTGGGCAGGTAGGGATCATACATGGACCATGTCCTATTTATTCCCTCTTGGGAGACTGATATCATGTATTTATCTTTTCAAATCTATTCTGGGGATGCCCGCGTAATGTATAAGGAAATTGCAAATCGTATATGTAAGCCCAGCCTCCATGCAATTTTCCAAGATCGTTTCCATTGACTCTCCATTAACCCTAAACTCTGACCGTTAAGGCCCTTCTATCACCATAAACCTGAACACCCATTACGAACTTATGCAGGTTTTTAAGCGGATGGAAAGAGTCTAAGGCAGATCTTGTTCACTGTAAGGAGAGCTTATAAGCCCTTAACCCTGAACCCTGAAGGCCCTAAAAACCCTGCAAACCCTAAACCCTAACCCGAAAGATGGAGGGGCCCTGGTCAATCCTGGCCCTACAAGGATGCTAGAAAAGCCGAAGTACTGGCCCGGCACAGCCCACGTGCAGCTGCCTGGGTTGCCGTTAAGGAACTTGAATTAAGTTATCATACTGTGGGTATGTATGGGGTTCAGGGTCTAGGGGTTGAAGTTACCATATTATGGTATATAGGGTTTAGGGTTTAGGGGCTTAAGTTACCATATTATGCTATATAGCAAACAATGGAGTTTCCTTCTAGTAACTTAAAAAAAGTTCCTTGACACCAGCTCAGCTGCGTTCCAGAGCCAGCGCCTCGCTCTTCACGCGCACGTAGCCATTCTCGCCCCAGTACCTCAGACAGTTTGTGCTGATGGGGAAGGGTCCAAGAGTAGTACTATGATCACAAATTTTAGAGTTCAGAGCTTAGGGGACCATATAAGCCATAGTCTAAACTCTTAGTATCCCCCTTCATAGCCCTTGTAGTAGTCCCCCATATAGTTCCCTATATAACCCCCTTGAAGGAGTTTAGATTATGGTTCATATTGGCGTCTGCGTCAGCAGCGCTGGCGCCACTGCCTGACCACCGTCATGGTGAGTTTCCAGCATGCGATCGTTACAATTCTTGCCCGGAGCCCTTAACCCTCTTAAACCTTGGGTCCTCCCCCGCCCAGCAACAGCTGGATAATATCTATTATAGCTATATACAACCCTCAATATTACCCCTATTATAGGCGGTTACTGGGTGGGGGCAGGACTCAACTTAAACCCTAACCCCTAAAACCTTAAACCTTAATCCCTAAACCCTATATTCTATCCCCGTCCCCCTCTCGCCCCCCCCAAACACCCTACTACCCACCGATGCTCTCAGCCAAGCGTCTCACCCCAAGAGTTGCGCACGATCCTTTGCTGCTCGGGATTTGAGGCAAGTCTTGGAGAGGTCGCTCTTGGCAGATTTTAGGGAGTTCCCAACATTATAGGTGCACTTGAGAGCCCCCATAAGAAGGATTGCGACCTATGGCAACCCTAAACCCTAAACCCCATATTGGGGTCTATATTCGGGTTGCCATTTTATGGGAATTACCATTTAATGGGAATCTCAGTCACTAGGTTACAGTGGGGGATAGGCTTAGTACAAAACACTCGTGTCACCCGAGAGACCATCGGATATTACCTGTTCATAACGTCGGGCTCTGGCCCAGCTAGGTTTAACACTGAGGTCCTAGATTGCATGGGTTTGGGGTTCAGGGCCTGGGGATTGCATGACTAGACCCGTTTAAGAAATTGTGTTTCAAAGCTCACGCGCGGGCCTCCAATAAGTGCGCCAGGTATTCGGCTCAATACAAAGAACCCTGAAAAGCCACGGCCAATTTATTTACAGAACCACTGCCCCATAATGAGGGACAGAGAAAATTGCCGCAAAAAAAAGAACTTCCCAATTTGAGATATTTCCCAAACCACTAGCCGCTATTAACCATTCCAAGGCTCCAATACAAACCCTCCTCTGGGTCGGTTCCCCAGCCGACCACCGAGATGACGTGATCCTGCATCAGGGACCAGCCCTTGATGACGCCGGTGGTGTACTTGAGCCTTGGGTGTAGCGGGCTCAATGTAGAAAGTTTTCTAGGCTTGTAACGAATGTACGCGGAAAGTTGCTATGTGCATCTGTACCTGGTGCTCTTGGGATGTTCAATCTTATCTCAAGGATATGTCCTCTCTCAGGGAAGGTGCCATGTTAGATGCCATCCTAGCCAAGTAACCACAGTCCGAGGAAGCTTGGCAGCTAGACGTTGGTCAGCACATCTCGCAGTAAAACATACAGATCCTACAACTTGCCTGCAAGCCCCAGAACCTGATTGCCGGACACTCCCTGGCCCAAATTATGATAATAATGGGCCATATACCCAAGGTTTTTGCGGCCACCGCCATGGTCGTTGGTGTTTGGGCAACCTTGATTGGCCCGAAACTGCTCTACCTGTACGCCTCTACCAACCCCTAAACTCTAAACCCAAAAGGCCCTAGGCCCTAGACCCTACCCGGAGTCCTAAACCATATTCCCTGCAAACCATGAACCCTCAACCCTAGAACGCTCTAAACCCTAAACTGTCAAGGGCCTCAAATCCTAAACCCTGCACCCTTAAGTCATTCGTAGCGGAGGGGCAGAGGGTTGGCGTCAATCCCACAGGAGATGGGCCCCCGGTTGAAGATCTCTTTCATCATGGCATCCTGGAGCACGATGTTTCGGGTTTGGGGGTTTGCGGGCTTAGGGTTCAGGGTAAGGATTATACGTATAAGGATTATTATGTCGGGTTTTCAGTGTCTTTACAGGGCTATAGAGGGTTTAGAAGGGTTGTATAGGGGTGTCCCCCGGCAGCACCATGGCACTTTGGGGATTTTGGACTTAGGGATTTAGGGTTGTGGGAAGCCGGTCTTAGGGATAAAGGTCTTCAGAGGGTTGGGCTTTTGTGATTTGGGGCCCAGGGATTTAGAGTTAGCATTCACAGGCTTTGCGGTTTGAATATCATGCAGCTCCAAACGACATAAGCGGCGCTAGTTTCCAACAGTACCCCTTGATCCAAGGCTTGTGGCTAACGCATACCCTCTGCCATAGCTTCGGTCAACGATCTGATGTAGCCAAGCTCCAGAGATAACCGAAAGATCCAAACAGCCGGAAATCGACACTATTAATGTACTAATGGGCCCAAAGTGGATTGACAAAGGCCACTAACTCAAAACAATCATTATTTGACAACAGAATCTCCCGCAAAGACCCCTCCAGCTCTCCTCTACCTTCGATAATCTCGACTGTCAATGCTCTAGGTATGTACATGATGAAGCACTAAGGATGTCCATCATGACTGCAAGAGATGATGAGATACAACCTGGTCTTTTCCTAACTTTGCCGTTGCTTCTCAACTAAGTGGAAACAACATATAACATGAAGGTATCCCAATTGCTCAGCAGAAGAGATCGCCGACTGCCACCTCCGGTTCGACACCAAACCCCTTGTGGGAAAGCAAAGAGTTCCCCACATCTCCCTTTTCATTTTGTATGAAAAAGTTCTAAACATCACCTTTTTTGCAGTGAGGAGGGTGCACAAGATCCGAAAAATGATGCTTATTGGGGTCATATAGGCCCTGAAGCAGATATGGTGCACGCCAGGCCTAGGGCTTGGGTTATTGCTGCGCAAACTTGAGCTTGCCCCGAGCTAGCCCCAAATACCCCCTTTCTGACCCTCAATCTTCACAGGCCCAAGAAGGTCCATTTTCAGAAATGGGGTCTGCACAAGAAGAGCGGCCAATATGGATTCGAGTGCACTTTGATCCTTGTAGAAGGGGCTCCCAAACAGGTGGGCCCCGATTCTGTGGAAACCCTCACAAACACCGTGCCGTGCGAATCGTCGAGCTCCTTGCCCCTGATGGATCCATAGTCCGAAATCGTCGCGTTCGGGTAACCTTGCTTCCCCAGACCCATATTCATAGGCTGTGGTAAGATGAGGGAGTAAAAATTGTAAAAAGGATGTGGGGAAGGCAATACTGCATAAGAATACAGGAAGTATAAAGGAACAATCTCAGTGTTTGTTTCAAGCTTCTAAAATAATTTGCATTTTAGCAGAATAGGGCAGGGCGGGTGTGGGGAAGGATTAGTGTAGATTGCTAGGCCACCCCCAAATAGGACAGACCCTTAACCCTAAACCCTGAAGTGTAGAGACCCTCTAAGAAGGAAAGAGGATAAAAAAAAAAAGGAACCCATAGTTTGCAGAGGGTCTGTCATACAGGTGGGCCATTGATGATCTACCTGAATCATCCTTTAGGGGTGATAATGCTATCCCCCCAAAGGAACCCCCCAGATTTAGGACCCCCTATTGGGCCTTATCAAGCCTTACATAGCCCTTATTAGCTCCTGGCATCCTGGAGGGGCGCCTTTATGGGGGCGATAATATTAGGGTTATATTGGGGTTATATGGGGGATAATGGAAAAGAAAATGGAAACTACTACTACAATGGGTTATAGGTAATGCTATAATTCCTCAATCATTGTGCAACCCAGCCGTTTCCTTCAGCTCTGGCTGCTTACTCCTGTGCTTCGCGCGGACTTCTCAATAGAGGCCCTTTGTAAGGATTGTTTGACAAGACATTTATGGGTTTTCTACAGGGATTCTGCAGGAGTTGATTTTGAGAGACTCCCTCCTTCGCTGATGGTTAGATGTGCCACGAAAGGTCTCGATGCAGGGCAAGCCTGACATTCTACAAAGGAGTGCCTGAGCTACCCTGGGCCGAGCTGGAACTGATCCAGCAGTAGGTTTCGTAGGGGTTCTATTGGGATAATGGACAAGGGAAACTACTAGTTAGGTTTAAGGGTGTATAAGGGTTTAGGGCTCATTTCAGCAGCATGTTGTAGTTTTCACAAGTTACATGGTGGGACCCCCAAGATGGTACCTCGAATTTTCGGACACCCCATTTGTTTGCACACGGTCCAAGCAGCTGTCTGCATGCTGCGAGATCGAAGGCTGGCAGTCCAGGCAACTTTCACGCTTACCCTAGCAAGTCTGGACACATCAGCTGATTTTTATTCCATTCTCTAATAATCCATTTTCTTTTCCATTATCCCTGAATAAGCCCTATAAACCCCTTAAAAGGTACTTTGAATTTGGGGAAAATCTGTAAAACAGAAGTCTTCCCAATGCTGTAAAAAGACTAAGAATCACATCTGGCAAAGCAAAATCATCCTCGAGTTCTGACACATCCGTAAAGGCTCTAAGTATATAGTTCCCCTTAAGTAGAGAGAATATGGCTTTGGGTATATTATGGTAAGATCCCCATATACCCCATATTCTATCTACTTAAGGGGGACTATACATGCCGTAGATACTCAGCCCCCGCACAATTTTCCGATATTATAAGCGCTTTGGGGCAAGTATGGTGCTTGGACCCTCGGAGAATCGTAACGTACTGGGAGGCTCAGGGTAATTACAACCCGAGTACAACGTCCTTATCATCCAGCTATAAGCCTCAATAAGCCTGCTACGTCCCTGATATGGCTCAAATTGGGTTATTAGTACGAGTTATACTTGTGACAGAATTAGCCTGAACCCTAAACCCAAAGGCAACTTGGGTCACATTTCCTAGACCCTCCAATGAAGTACCTATTTGGTAATCCTAATAAGAGTCCTAACCCAAAAACCATAACAAACCCAAAAGGGAGCTACATTGGATGGTCCAGGTTGTGCTGAACCTTCAAAAGCTGAAGCTTGAGCAAGCTGCTGTCGAGGCCGACGCAGGGCTCACCAAAGGTGCTGCAAGTGCGGGCGATGTTCTCAGCCTGCACTTGGGTTTAGGGTTTAGGGTTTAGGATTTAGTTTTTTTTTCTTTTTTGATTTAGGGTTTCGGGTTTAGGATTTAGGGTTTGGGGTTTAGGGTTTGGGGTCTGTTTGAGGCTCAGCCCGCACTTGGATGCTCTCTTGACTTAGTAAGTCTCTATTCTCCGACGTCTGGGACAAGCACAAGAGGTTCTGGGGATAGTAGGTAGACTTACTACTAAGTTACAAAATCATCCAAGCAAGTGCTTCTTGTTGAGCCCTTTGCAGAATGTAGAGTTTCTAGCTCATCATGAGGTCTCAGCTATTGTAGGGGTTTTAAGTTATAACAATAACAGGGTCCTGGTAGTTGTACGTAGGGTTTATACCTGTAGGGTCTGAGCTCTTGTAAGGTTTACGGGAATCTGGGCACACTTTAGCGTGGTGTGGGGCATCCATTCCATGTAAGTTGTTGCCTCGCGGAGGTGGTGGTGGATGTAAAAAAACCGCCTGTTCTCTTCTTCGACTTTTGCATCACACCCAACAAGCCCCGGGTGGAAACCCCTTCTACCCATAACTATCCCCCCCGTCAAAAGCAACAAATAGTAAACAACCCCTGAACTCCAACCCTAGCCTTGCAGCTCGTGTCCGCATTCTTGCAGATGCCAGCACCTGAGCGAAGCCATTCAACCAAGACTTCACAACAAGATCGGGTGACCGAAGGAAGCCCCCAAACTCCATCATTGTTACTATTACTATTATACTGTTATTATTGTTACTAATATTCTTATTACTATGACTAATATTATGGACAACGTTTCCAAGGCCCGGCATCTCAGAGAAGCTCCTGCCAAAATCATATTGTGCTGCAGTTAGAACAGCGCCCAACCTCCTAGGGTAAAATGCAGAAGTATCCACACCAACAGAAGGCTTTGACGCATTCCTCACCCCGCGTATTGGTTCTCAATAGTGCGGCTATTTTGAGGGATGGCACTGCTCTCGCTGGAGCAGGCCAGATATGGCCTCGGCCAGTTGCACATCTCCCAGGTGCTTGGTAAGGGACAAGGGTATGCATCATGGGGTTGGTGCTCGGATTGGGAATGTACAGGGTCTAGTGAATGAGAGAATGGATTGTAAGGGCTCTGGATGAGGGTTGTGCATAGAAACAAGCTTGTATAGATAATGTGTATAAATAAGCAGCTATCGATCTCAAGCTTAGTGCCCTACGGGACCTGGAGGCTCGTTTTTCCTGGTTCTTTTAGGCAACGCAGCGCTGGATCCAACACTAGTCTGCAGACAACGGATTCAACACTAGTCTGCAAACAATCCCTGACAACAGCCCCTAGAATCTCTAGCCGAGTAACATTCAGTAAGTCTGAATGGAACAACCGATTTTGGCCCTAAAGGTGCAGCGATCGCAAACGGGGAAAAACAGCCTTGTCAGAAGGGTAATAAAAAAAACCCAAGTGCGCACGCGCACTCAAAACTGCACCCAAAACCCTAATCCTTGAATAGCGAAAAGTCATTCCCCAATCCCACATTCCGCACTAAGCACCACGGAGCTCATTGGAAGGTGGTCGTTCAAGATGGTAGAAACGCAGGAAACATGAATTTCTAACCCCTGCAAAATCCTACAGCCGGAAACGAGCACAAAAAACTCAATCCCCTTAGTAACCCTATAATGCTCCCCTATATAATCCACCTTATAACCCTATAACCCTATAACCCTAAACCCTAGAGCCGCTTCAGGCCAACTATCTTTGTATCGGGGCTGTTTATTACATAGTCTCTGAACCTGAAATTAATCCGATGTGGAACTATTCTCTAAGCTCCTAGCATCCCCCTTCATAACCCCTATAATAGTCCCCTATATAATCCCCTATATACCCCCGTCTAAGGAGTTTAGACGATGGATCACGTAGAATTATTCTCCAACATAACCCTCGGCGTAACTAAACTCTATCAGGCAACTGGGAGGTGAAGTAGGAGATTCCACTGCCCGTTCGCTTGCTCAGCCTGCACTTGAAAGCGGAAAAAACGACCAGGCCCTAGGGTTTAGGGTTCAGGGTTTAGGGGTGCACGGTCTTAGCAGCCTGAAAATTGGAATCATATTTTTGGGTACTAGCAACTGTAACTGAGCGGACTATGGCCATTGCCAAGCATGCCGCCGCCAACATGAAAAAACAATCAGCGCTCCCGCTCTATGCTTGCTGGTTCGTAGTAGGGAATGAAGAAATGACAAATGAGATGGAAACTACTGCATTTATTGGGCATTACATAGGGATTGTTATAGTCTGTGTCTACCAAAGACGCTGCTCTGGAGCCTTAAAAAACAGTCGCGTTTTAGGCAAAGGTGGGATATGGTGCCTCTCAACATGGGGTTTAGGGTTTAGGGGTTTAGGGTTTAGGGTTTGGGGTTTAGGGGTTGGGGTTTAGGTTTTGGGGTTTAAGGGTTTAGGGTTTGGGGTTTAAGGGTTTAGGGTTTGGGTTTGGGGTTTAGGGATTAAGAGTACCTAAGAGACCCCAGGCACGCACCTGTTAAAGGCTGCACGAGGTGAAAGGACCATGTAAAGGCTGGTGGGCAAAACTCCATATGAGCTACAGCATAATCTCAACTTTAGTATGCTCCCTAATAAGCCCTATAATGCTGACCCTACATAACCCCCTTCAAAAAGGTTGACACTAGAGCTCATATCGTATGTTTCTAGCGGGATGGGAAACTACATGGGAAAAATCTCCTGATAGCATGGGCCCCTCCTGAACGCAAGACCAACTCTTCAGGACCTTGTCATCCTCTTACCCCTAATAGATTACATTGGGTTTATATTGGGATAATGGAAAAGAAAATGGAAACTACTATTCATTTAGGCTTTAGGCTTTATGGCTTAGGGTTTAGGATGTCGACCTACCTACTTGCACCTACTTGCTAACTTTCTCTGAACATCCCGGAGCCCTAGCCGCTCAAAACATCAACCTTCATAATCCTTGCATTCTTATAAAGCAATATTCCCCCACAACTCTATTGAAATTGACTAGGCCCCTACATTTCCCATCTCAAGAAACCCTCATCTCAATGCAAGAATGGCATTCCCACATTCTCAGCCCTGGTGACTTCTCCTGCGGGTTGACCCAAAGGCTCCTATGTTTAGGGTTCCTATTCAAAGGTTTGATGCATTTCTGATGGTGAGAATGTAGGGTATACCCATTTGAAGACAGCATTGTTCAAAATACAGATGGCCATGCATGCAGATAGGACTCCCCCATTAGAGGTCTTCAAGTGCTGAGATCTTGTTTACATGTTCCCGAGGCAACTGAAGCAAGAAGAGTGTGAGCTATACACAGGTGTTATCATGCGTTGCCATTGGTTCAATCCTCACATCTTCGTACAAGAGCTGCGAAAAATGCGTTGTCTCTTCTAGGGTCGCACTGTTATAACCACCAAAAGATGGCTGCCATTGCTCCTTGTAGCAAAGCCGGGGCTGCCAAGACAAATAGCAGTTTCCCTAAATAAGGGACCCCAACATAGCCCCCAGTATAATATAGTCATTACTATAGGGTCCCCAGAATAGTTCCCCCTAATTTTGGGAAGCCCCCAACCCTAAACTCTAAATGTGCCAACCCTAAGCCCCTAACTGCGGCTACCAAGAACAAATGTGCCAAGAGGCTTGTAGATCCACTGGTACGGGCCATCCACAGTGCCGCCGTGGCCTTGCCATCTGTCATTTTATACTATTTAGCGCTTATACATAGGATTTATATAGGGATAGCGGAAAAGAAAATGGAAACTACTATTCAGGGTTTAGGGTTTATATAGGGGTTATATTGGGTTTATAGCGGGGTTATATAGGGTTTATATAGGGTCATATAGGGGTTAGACAGCTTTGGCGTTGACAGGTTCAGCATTCAGAAATTTGGGGCTTGAGGATTTCAGGTTCAAGGCGAATTCGTCTTCACGAGTCCCCCTATAGTCCCCCTTGAGTACATAGAATACACTAATCCCTAAACCCCAAACCCTAATGCCTAAACCCTAAACCCTAAACCCTATATGATTAGGGTTTAGGGTATGGTTGCCCTTAAGTAGATAGAATATGGGGTATATGGGGATCTTATTGTAAAATGCCCACAAGCCATATTCTGTCTACTTAAGGGGGACTAGATGGCTTTAAGGATGCATAGGACGCGGCAAGAAGGCTCTTAGACACATAGAGGCTTCCAAGAATCGAGGGGTTGGCTCTTGGGGGGGTCTCAAAAAACCGAGATTCCAGCAAATTGGAGTCTACGCTGGGGTCCCTATTTTTCAAAACTACCACATGGAGCACCTAACGACATGCTAAGATTGTGGCAAGATGCAGCGGTACTACCAGGCTCTACCATCTCTGACAGTCTGAGAAAGCAACATTGAGGCAGCTCCACAAAATGCCACCCTGGCCATAACAAAGAAGGCTCCCACCACTACTACATAGTATATTGGGGCTAGTAAGGGATAATGAAAAACAAGCTAGACGCTACTATACAGTATATTGGGGTTATATATGGAAAACGGACTCTAGACTCTAGAAATTCTCAGACTCTAGTAAGCCGACATAAATCTTCGATCGCCTTAATAAACAGAAAGCGTCGCCTTGGGGGCCCCAGTTTTTAGCGTTTCCGAGAACGCACTAATTTATACCTGTTTGCTCTAGAATGGTAATAGACTAAATAAAGCCCTCTAGCTGCCAGGATACACGATCCGACATTGCCGCAGTTCAGCATGTGCTGAACAGACAGCTGGACATCTGCGCCCTTTGCTCCCCGGGCGATCCTGAAAACATTAAGGACTTTGGCTTCACCGGTGTGCTGTTGCGCTTTCAGGGGTGGGAGGGAAACACGCTGCACCGGAAACCGTATAACCAAAGTTTCAATCTTATGTCACATGTTTTTTCCATTTCAGTCTCCATTAGCAGTCCCTGTATCCCAAGAATATGCCAGCGCAAAGCCTTAACTCCTATAATTGAATCCTATACTTGAAAAAATCTCATATGAACCCTATCAGCTCTCTATAAACCCCTACACTACACCTGAAACCCAGCTCGTCAGATGAGAACCCCAAACTTTAAACCCTAAGCCTTAAACTCTAAACACTGAACCCTAAACCCTACCCTATGAACTCAGGTCGTCAGATGAGAAGCTTGATGCGATCAGCCAAGGCGGACGTGGCGCCATGAGCCCAGCAAGAGCCGCAGTACCTGGGTTTGGGGTGTAGGGTTTAGGGTTGGGATCCAAACACTAGTACCTAGTGTGTTGGGGCTATATAGGGATAATGGAAAAGAAAATGGAACTACTACTTAATATGTTGGGGTTATATAAGGATAATGGAAAAGGCTGTTAAGTGATTAGGGTCTAGGGTTGAGTGATGAGGGATCAGGGTTTAGGGTCTGGGCTGTTAAGTGCTTAGGATTTCGGGATGAGGGTTTAGAGTTTAGGGGGATGAGGAATCTTGGTCTTGGGATTAGTTAAAGTGGTTTAGAGCTCGTGGTTTCGGGGACCACGGAGTTTCTCAGAACAGGAGTACCTTTAGGAACCCTGGAGATATGTAGGGCTGTAAGTGAGTTTGAAGGTCCCTTGCTGGGAAGGGTTTGTTACAAGAAGCTCTGATATGTTGCATACAAGCAGATCCTATAGTCCCCGTTAAGTAGATAGAATATAGGGTATATGCGGATCGTACTATAAAATGCCCGGCGCTATGTTTTATCTACTTAAAGGGGACTATAAATCCTAAGCCCAATGCCCCGTGAAGGATGGTATAGAGCTTATTTGGGAGGTTTTGCGCGAAAAGGAAGTTCAGCTGCGCAGACTTCCTGAACGTGGGAAGCTTCTGCATGGGCTTATAGAGATACAAACCAGGGGCTATTACAAAAGGCATGGGAGTTAGAAATCCATACCCTAACCCCTGAACCCTAACCTCTAAACCCTAAACCCTAAACCTTAAGCCCTAAACCCTAATCCCTAAGCCCTACACACTAAACCCATAGCATGCCTATAGAAGCCACAAACCCTATATAGCCTCTATAGAGTCATTACATCGTAAACAGCACCCTCCTAAAGTTGCCCAAGATTGCGAAAGCTGTTAAGGGATCAGGGTTTGGGTTCAGGGTTAAGGGTCTAGGTTTTGGGGTTTAGGGCTGCCATGGCAGCTATAGTTGGGCTACTCCCCCCCACCCCGTAACAGTCCATGCTAATGGTAGTGTTCAGAACTTAACGTGAGCACATTGCACGAACACCCAGTATTCAAGCTATATTGTTTGACTTGCAAGACTCACGCTAGGGAAACCCTAGACCCGTGACCCGGCCATTTGTTGAGAACCACGACAGGTTTGTAGGGATTCGTAACCGGACAATGTAGCCACCCTCTAAAGATTGCTCTTGGACGAAGTGCTACTGAAGCTGATTTTGTGATTGAATATGCGTTGTAAACTTATAGATTGTTAGTAGGGAATATGATCCCTATGTAGGTCCTACGGACCTACCAACCACCAGTAAGCAGATGTACATGAGGCCAAAAGCCCGCAATTATTTGCTTCCTGCAACTCTGAGGCAACGCCTCATGTTCTGGAATTACATCCCCTAGAAAGCTTATCTACAACTCTTCCAGGGAAGGGCAGAGTGTCTGTGGGATGTGCTGGTTGAGCGAGATGGTGCAGTAGTTGGTGCCGTCCTACAGCGAATGTGTTAGATTTTTTATCACTTCCACCAGGAGATGACATGTCTCAAATTAATACCTTGTGCTCTACATCTATTGGAAGTGCTCGAGAGGGGGGGGTGAGGCAGAGTTCCGGGTTGATGCGGCAAGTCTCCAGCTTTTTGGTTGTTCAGGGGGTTGGGCCGGGGGGGGGTGATGAAGTTTCCAGAGTTTCGGGATTTAGGCGTCAGCTTTTGGGGTGTGGGGAGTCTCAGGGGTACGGTTTAGGGTAGAACATGGCAGGGCGTTGTTGACTTGGATTGGTCATCGGTGAAGTTTGGTCCATAGTGATGAAGGCTGGCTCCACTCAATCTTAGCCTTCCACACATTAACATAGAAACCAAACAAGGCCCTGCAAAGACTACTGTCCTTTGAAAAGGGGGCTATTTGGGGGCAGGGTAACTTGCATATGTAACAGACTTCCAACATCACCCTGTTCGAGACATAGTGCCATATAGTTATCGATCTATATCCACGAAGGGGTTGCTTAGTGGGAGGGATTCAGGAATGATCGACAGCATGCAAGCACTCTGCCCCAAAAGGCAGCAGCCACATTCAAAAAATACGTGAGCACCCTTATGTCTACTGTTGAGGGTCTCTTAATAAGGCTAATATCGACACATGGCAGTTTACAATAGTTTCAATTCCCAATTAAAGGCCATTTTGGTACTACCGCCCTATATAAACCACCATCTAGGGTGTGGTTGGGCACGTGACGCAGGATCTTGAAAAGAAGGCAAATCCAGATGACAGCTTTACATAAGTTAGCAGTAGCAGCGCCTCGTGATAAAACAACAAAGCCTGACTTCATCCACCAGCGTCCTGCAAAAACTAGGAATTTTCAGCACAGACTTGTGGGAAACGTACAACCCACATAAGGCCCGGTAACCCCCAATTGTTCAAGCCCTTTGTTCTCAAAGGACTTAAATTGCTCACATAAGGCAGCGGCATTGGGATGACGTGGAGAGCAGGCGCTACTAAGAGGAAATGGATGACCCCTCACCCCTAGGCCTAAAAAAACCCTAAATTCCTAAACCCTCAACGCACATGCGTTGGCCAGCCTTGTTGCACCAGGTAAAGTCGCTTGGGTAGCCGCCATCCGGAACTGGCAGATCCTCATGAGAGGACCTGGAGCAAACATTCTCAATAATCATAAGGAAGCACGGCGACTACTTTCTACAAGGAAACACACGGACGGTTGCTGCAGAGTTCTGAACTGTGATGATGACTAAATCATCACCGATGACAACAAATCGTGCGTTACCTTGTTGGTACGAACTGCTGGGAGTTCTTCACTAGAGAAAGCTGAAAAAGGACTCTGTGAATCATAGGGCCCTTATTGATTAGCTAAAGCTGTTTGATCCCATAAAAACTTAAAAATCATGGTTCAAAAGTAAGGTAGATGGCAAACCTAAACCAGAGACTCCTAATCCCAAAGCCCCTCAATATCTTAACCCGAAATCCTCGGCTGCTGAAGCCTAACTCCTGAACCCCCCTAAATCCGAAGCTCAAAACTTCAAGCCGCAAGCCCAAACCATGAGCTCTAAACCCTAAACCTTAAACACCCTAAACCAACCCTAAACCCTAAATCCTAAACTCCTTAATCCCTAAATCCCTACATCCCTAAACCCTACTGCCAGGCCTTGCCGTGGCATTGCCTCCCACTACGACGCCAAGGGCTTCGGCCTGATGAAAATGAATTGAAAGGGTTTAGTGCAAGCTATGTTCCCCAGTAAACCCTAAATAAGGGTACCCTTTTTCCTACTGTTCTGCTTTAATAAGGAGACCCCCAAGTAAAAAAAAGTGTAAAAGTGTACCACTGGGGTACCTAGTTAGGGCTTAAGCTTTTGTTCTTAGAGTTCCTTGGTGTTTAGAGTTTAGGGTTTGGGGTTTAGGGTTTGGGGTTTCAGGCTTTGGGGCTTGGGGGTTAGGGTTTAGGGCTTCAGGTTTGGGATTTAAGGTTTAGGGTTTGGGGTTTAGGGTTTGGGGTAGTCATCGGGGCTTAGTTTAGGGTTTGGGTTTATGGGTTGCATATAGAAATTGTACAGTGCTTACAATGGAAGGGTATAAAGGGATTTTGAAAAGCTCCAAGGTTTAGAAGAAGAAGTCTGGCACCACCTCAACCCTGGTAGTCTGGGACTAACAGCACCTGTCATAGGTAGTCAAAGATTTCGTCTCTCCTCACACACTAGACCCAAAAACTCTAGACTGTAAACCCCAAACCCTAAGCCTACTCCCAAACTGTAATCCCTAAACCCCCAAACCCTAAGCCTGATCCCAAAACCATGTATCACCCATTATAAGTATTAGATTCCATTTTCTTTTCCATTATCCCCATATAGCCCCAATTTAACCTAAATATTACCCCAACGGTCCCATTTCAGATTCCATCTTCTTTTCCATGTGATTCTCCATTATTGGGGGGTAATATCCCGAATATCCTCAATATTACCTTAAATCCTAAACCCTAAACCCCCCAAAAAGCATGGACACCTCATTATTAGTAACCCTCATATTACCCCAAAAAGCACGGAAACCTCCGGCCTCCTCCCTTGACAGCAGCTCACTCCGATGCTCGGCGGCGCTTGCGGCCGTTGGGAGCGCCAATGCCTTGGCCACTTTCGAAGTTAAGGGTTTAGGGTTTGGGGGTTTAGGGTTTAGGGTGGTTTAGGGTTTAGGGGTTTAGGGGGTTAGGGTTTAGAGGGAGGGGAGTTAGGGTTTGGGGTTGAAACTGGGTTGCTGTTGAGGAACTCAAAGTAAGTTACCATAATATGTATAGGAATGTACTAAATAGTAGGGTTTCCTGATTATAGTACCTTGACATAAATTCCTTAACAGCAACCCAATAATTAAATGGGGGGAGGAGTAGCATTTTGGGCTCGAGTTGTCCTATCTCGGGCTTTGAGTACCCATCTCAAGAGGAAGGGGTGTGTTAGGCTTTGGGAATTTAGGGGTTACCTAAACTGCTAAGCTGCGACCCTCCCAAGGTTCTCTTAATTAGGCTTATGTAGTGTTAGCTCAGGGAACGTTAGGGGAGGCAGTGTAGATTACAAGGACCCATGATCAACAATCAAGCGGGGAGGGTCGGATGTAAAAGTTAAGGTGTAGGATCTAGGGCTGAGGGTATCCTATTCAAAATCGGGGGTTGTTAGGGCTTGCCTCAGGAGGTATAAGTGAGGAGAAGCCAAGATCAAGAAAAGGGGGGGGGGTTAAACATGACCGCCCCCCACCCCCTGAAATAAATACACCCAATATGGTACCATCATATGTTAGAGAGTAGAATTAGTACTATGTGGGGCAGGTAGATTATTTGGGGTCAGAAGTATAGGAGTTCTTGAAAATGATCCCTACATGACTCTTAAGGCTAACCAATGTAGGACATGTTCAGAATTTAGAACCCCTGTTTCTCCCTGAACCCTGAAGAATAACAATTAAATACCCCCGTGTGTGCGCGTGCGTGTGCGTGTATCATTTGCGCGCGCCAATTGTTGCGGTTGCTATGTGTGTCTCATTGCTACACACAATCTTCAGACATGCTCTATCCTGGGGTGGGTTATGCTCACGATCCTACATTTGTTGACTCGAGTTTGTGGCACTCGGGGCGCTGCAAGGAGAAAGCAGCGCATGGTGAGGAGGAATTCAGCTACAAGCTATGGCAAGTCGGTTTTGAGCCTCAACGTGAAGCGGCCAATTTCCTGAAACGCTTCAACACAAGTAAGCACACAGCGAAATCAATTCAAACCTGCTACTAACTGTCAAGTCAGAAAAGCTCCATGCCAGCCCAATATAACTGAACATGAATGGCCAATAGCCGATAGCTTAGGGCTTAGTACGTGACAGTACCTACAGTTCAATCGCGCTTCGAACCTCACAAAGCCACGTACATGTGCCCCGAACGTCTAAGTAGGATCTTGCGATCTTGCCGAAAATGGAAGGAAAAGGGGAAGCTGTGACCACGAAGGTATGCACATTGCAACAGCGGCCTACAGCGCTAATGCCTGTCAGCAACCACCTGGTGCGCATCGTGTGCGAAAAGGTGCCGCAAACTCTTCATGCCATGTCTTCCAGATTGCGTAGGCCCTTGATCCTGCCTTCCTTAGGGTATCTCCCTTTTGTTGATGATACAAGGCATGCAGTTAGGCATCCGAAGAGCAGCTTGGGCTTCAGGATCTAGAAAAGCTGTAACTATCGGATTATGTCGGCGAATCTGTGGCCCAGGCAGCTGGCTAGCCTATGCCCCCTATATATATTATACCCCTATAATAGCAGTTTCCATTTGAGGTTCCATTATCCCAGTAAAACCCCTACAACCCTAAACCCTAAACTTTATTATATAACCCAATATTAAAAGCCAAAGCAGACCCTCCTCAATGAAGTAGCGGAGGTTGAAGAAGAGTGCTCCACCGTTGAAGGCAACAGTCTGCGTGTCCTGGCAGCTGGAGGCATAGCAGGAAATTAGCCTAAGGGTCCAAGGACCCAAATAGTAGGGTGTTAGGGCCCAAATACTATACTACTAATGGTATTTGGAACCTAAAGCCCTATTACTTGGGTCCTTGAACCCTTAGGGTTAATTAGGAAGCAGGCGTGCGCGGTTGAACAGGGGCATTCAGGCAGCGCGTGAGGGAGGAGGAATGACAATGGCATTTTGGTTCCCGCCACCCTTAGGGTTTAGGGTTCAGTTTCTTTTTATCGGTCCCTTTCTCCATAGCACGAGTCCACGAACATGCCTTTCAGCAGGGTTTAGGGTACCTTGTAGGGGAAGACGCCCGCGAATGCTCCAGTAAACAACACGTCTCCAGCGCAGATCATGGAATCCTTACATGCCACACTCGCTTGGTCGAATGACACTTGCAGCAAAGATGGTATAAGTAATACGTTGACAGAAAAGTACATGCCTTGTGGTTAGCACGGCGATCATTACTATCATTACAGTGCAGAATATCTTTATTTTTACTACCATCATTACTATACCTACTGCTATTATTAGTAGTACTATTATTCCTCCTTGTGGTTCATACCTGGACATGGGAAGGCCATCTGAAAGGATCGCCGTTTCAGGGACCACCCGGCCGTGCCAGAAGTTTGACAGCTCCGTGGCGTTCAGGACCCCTACTACAAGTTGACTTTTAGGCACCTATCATAGGATTATACCTAAACCCCAAAAGTATGTAAAATAATAGCCCTAAGCCCAAAATGATAGCCATAAAGGCCATTATTTCACGTAATTTTGGGGTTAAGGTAAGGAAATCCCCAAATTATTAGGGTCTATGGCCCAAGCTAAGTGCCAAGGAGACACCTAAGCAGTAGATGCAGTGGCTGAAACACTAGCGATCATTATCACGGCGGCAACGTCCATACATGGACTGAAAGGTGCCACTGTAGCCCTAAGAACTACATAGTACTTTCCATTTTGTTTTCCATTCTCTCTATATAACCAACCCCTATGCTGCAGGCAAGCACAACGGAAACCTGGGATTCTGAGGATCATGCCCCCCCTTGCCTCTGGCAGTCTATGCAGAGCTACGCTGTTCGGAAGCTTTGAGGGTTTGGTGTAAGGTGTAAAGGGTTAGTTAGGAATGGATCCCTATGGCCCCTGTATACCTTGTTGAAAACCTGCGGTCTTTAACCCGAAGACCTGATATAGCCGCCCACTCTCTTTTGTCTACGACATTCTACGACCATTCCCAACTACTTATAATCTTAAGCCCTAAATTCCCTAAAACCTATAAACCCTACGCCCAAAACTTAAAATCTTCAGCCCTAAATTCCCTCAAACCTATAAGCCCTACGCCCAAAAGCGCCACTACCCGGTTACCCTAAGCCCGATGAAGGCCTAAACCATCCTACGCCCCACAAACCCTGGGGCCTCCGAAAAAACCTGATCCCTCAGCCCTAAGCCCTTGGGCGCCCTAATCCCTATAAACCCTACGTGACCTCGTGCAATTCCCAGCTGTAAACCCTAAACCCTAAACGCTAGACCCCAAACCCTAAACCCTAACTCTAAACCCCAACCGTAAACCCTACACCCTAAACCCTAATTCACTGTCAGTAAGTCCTCCTCAAAGATGTGAACTCGCTCTATGCCTCGACTCCAAAGATTGAGAGTGCATGAAACCAAATGGCGTTTTAGGGTTTAGGAGTTTCGGGGTTTTAGGGTTTAGTGGTCTAGAGTTTGAGGGTTTAGGGTTTAGGGTTTTAGGGTTTAGGGTTCAGGGGGTTAGGGTTGTAGGGTTTGGGGGTTTAGGCTTTGTGGTCCGCATTCAAGGATTGCCTGAAGATGACGTATGGCTGATAGGTGAACCCCGTCAACTAGCCATTGTTCTGCATACTTCTGGAGCTCAAACATCCTAAAACGGCACCACGAAAAGAACCCCTAGACACTTATTCCAGAATATCAAAAACCCTAAACTCTAAACCCTAAACCCATCAACAGAAGGAGTATGTGGAGACGACCAGGAGACCCAGGGTCCCTATGAAGGATTCGGTAGTGACAGTTTTGGGATTTCACTTGGTAATTTCCATACATAGAGGACCCCCTACAGATTCTAAAAATACCATAATGCTTACTACGGGGAGCCCCCAAGATGGTACTCTCTTTTTTGGGACACCCCAGCCCCCTAATTCTTCTGTAGCCGTTGATGTGTCTTTGAGCAGCAATTGCTGCTGCCCACGATCTGCTTCACGCCAAGGCCATATTTAGGCTGCAGGGATTAGATTTTAGTCTCCCTTGAGAAGATAGAATATGGCTTTGGGTATATTATACTAAGATCCCCATGTACCCCATATTCTATCTACTTAAGGGGGACTATACCCTAAACCCTAAACCCTACTGCAAAAACCCTAATCCCTAAACCCTATATTCTAGCTACTTAAGCTCTAGTTAAGGGGGACTGTAGGTTTCGGGTTGAGTTTTTTCTCCAACGGTGAAGCAAGTCTCCGTGGAAATGCAAGGACGCACGGCCCAGGACAAGGCTGGCATCAGGAGACCAGGGTTGAGGGTTCAGGGGCTCGGATTTCTAGTGGTTACAGTTTAGGGTTTAGGGGTTTCGGTTTTCAGGGATTACGGTTTAGGGTTTAGGGGTTAAGGTTTTTAGGGATTATGGTTTAGTCGTTGATTTAGGGTTTAGGGATTAAGGTTTATGGATTGTGGAGTTTAGGGCAACATCAGCGATCCTGGAGAGTCAAATGGAAAGGAACATGGAAAATGATATGGCAACGGGGTTTGTATACGGGTTTACTTGACCTGCATGTTTGAAGTCTGGTTGAAGAACCCTACACGCTAACTATACCAGGAAGTTTGGACCTCAATAACCCTAAGCCGCAAGACCTAAACCCTAAACTCCTCATTAAACCGTAAGCCCTGGACCCCTAAACCCTAAGTCTTGAGAAGGTCGCTAGATGTCTCATGATTTAACACGGGGGAATCCGGGGAGGATGTTATTCGGTCTCTGATGTTGTTTACTTGTGCAGAGGGGCGTAGTGTGGGAGTGAACATAGGTACGAATCTAGGAACATGTGTGGGAACCCTGCGCGGAGCCCCAAATCCTAAAATAGGGGATATGAAAGCCTTCACTCCAATATATAATAAATCAACCAGTAAGTTTGTTGGCATTTGCAGCTGAGTGGAGGACATGGCACGGAGAAAAGCTCTGACACAGCCTTGGGAATATCTGCACATGTCTGCGAGTCCGGTGTCTTTCTTGGGCACGGGATGAAGCTCTGATATAGCCTTCGGAATGTCTGCAACTGTCTGCAAGTAGGTTATTTCTCGGGCTTTCCCTTTCAGTCAGGATCGCTTCGGAAGGTCACTTAAGGTTCATGGGCCACCCCACTGGTATTAACTCCAGGCACGCCCATGACACCCACACATGCATGCCATTAACTAGGCTCTACACTCACAAGCCCACCTCAACATACCCTACACGAATGAACGCTGTTTGCATCAGCTCAATCTGAAGAAGCCGAAGCCTTAAATCCTAAACCCATTATAAGTCAATTCCAGGGCTCCTGGGAAAGGACAGAATGATGATAGTGCACCCGTGGCTGTCTCTCAAAATCACGGCACTTGAGGGACCTTTGGGCTCTTTAAGGAAAATGTGGCCCCCTAAAGCGTCGCATAGGGGTTATTCAGAGGCCCTCTTTTCTTGAGGATTGTACAGATCTTGCCTCCCTTGACAAGCACCAAAAGAAGATCGAAAGAAACAACCAGCTGCTTGTTGTGAGATCCCTCTTACAACAAGCCTTCCCATTACGGTACAATATTAGGAGCAGTATCCTAGTATAATCTGCTCCAAACCTTGTTCTGGGCCCCGACAACCTGCTGTATTATATCCCAGGTTCCAATTCACTTTACATTTTTTACCGCTTAACTCTCCATCATTCCAGCTAGTTTGGTTCCTGCTAGCCTACACCCGCAAACCCCAGGTCCTAAGCTACACTTTGGGGCCCTGAACTGCAAATCCAACCATATTGGGATAATGGAAAAGAAAATGGAACCTACTACATCATATAGATATGTATATATATAGGGGTTTTATAGGCATAATGGAAAAGAAAATGGAAACTACTCACACCACAAATCCCGAAATTCAACGCACTGCCGCAGCTGGCCGCCAGAAGGTCGGCG